ATAACAATAACTAATTGAAATTAGTAGACAAGTTTTTTCCCCATCTTACAAAATCGTGTTTATGATGTAGAAAATTCCTTGAAAATGTGCACATTAATTTAAAAAATGAAATAACTTCAAAAATGACAAAGATTATTAAGCAGCATGATGAAGTAAGGGCTAGAGAAGGTGATGGCTCAGCTACAAACAAATTCAGTTGAGACTGGTCAGAGGAAGAACTAGAAAATACATTTACTGTTAGGAATCAACCACAAGCGGTGAAGTAAAAACAGAGAATTCATTCAAAAAGGTTGATTTACCAGTAAAGACACTGTGCACAAACTTATAAACTATGTTTCATGGGGTTGCTCTGACACAGGAAACTACTTAAAAACTGATAGAACTGTTAAGTAATTAACCAGATTTGGTTAATTTACTACTGTAAAATTTAAGGGCTTCAGATCTGTCAAATATATATAAAACAATATACAGGAGAATGGACCAAAGAGCAAAGCATTGGACTCAAAATATTGTGGACTTTTTTTTTTTCCTTTGCCCATTCTCATACCTGGTAGAATTAGTACATAATAATAATTTTCACTGTACTGAATATACATTATTTTTATTCAGTTTCTTTTTATTTCAAAATGTTTAGTTTTGTGTCTGTGATTTTTTTTTACATATCATCTTAGTAGCTGTATTCATATCTGTACTTAAAACCTTTACTGTTGTTTGTTTTGGTGAATATTTCAATATCAACCAATTCTTTGAATATTTTATGATACACGTATATATTTAAACTTGATGTTTTTATTGTGTTGATGATGTAGTTTTTTTGTGTTTTATCTTGGTATACTCCTAAATTGTTTGATTTTACTGAAAGCTAACTAAATAACTCAAACTTCTTTGTAAAATTATTTTAGAATTCTGAAAGCAGCAAATGAATAGATATAAGTTCTTATCTACTCATAATACAGCAAGAAATTACATTAGAACATGAAAAAAAGCATGGTGACAGATGGCCATTCAGCTCACCTCTCATCCAGAAAACAGTAATAATAAAATATTCTAATAACTTAATTAGTTTAATTCACCTTACATTTAATCCTTCACATCTATATGCTACTTCCACAAAAATTTGAAAAAATTCAAACACACACCAGAACACACAAATCCACAACTTTATAACTCCAAAGCCAAAGACGAGTCTGTATCTAAGCTTCCAAAGCTGTGACCCATTACCCTTAGTCTTTCTTTCTTTTGTTCTCCACTTGTACCTTTTAGCATCATAGTAGATTTAAATTGTCCTTCCAGAGCAAGGTGTGATACTTCAGGAGTTGTTGGTCTAATGTTTTTAACTGTTTCCTTGACACCATTGATTCTCTTTCTTTTGTTCTCCACTTGTACCTTTTAGCATCACAGTAGATTTAAATTGTCCTTCCAGAGCAAGGTGTGACACTTCAGGAGTTGTTGGTCTAATGTTTTTAACTGTTTCCTTGACACCATTGATTCAATGCTTCCTTGGTTTTCCTCTGCCTCTGTTTCTTATTAGTTGTCACCTTTACATTCTTACTGGGTTGTTCCAAACTTATTCATACCAAGTGGTTTAACCATTTCAATTTCTGCTTTTCTATATGTTTTAGTACTGGTCTCACTACAAGTTGTTCTCTGATCATTTGATTTCTTACTTTATCTCATCTGGTATTACCAACAGCTTTACAGAGGCATTTCGTTTCACATAATGTTATTCATTGTTTGGCCCTTTTACTGATGGTCTATATCTGGCATTGATATTTAAGTATTAGTATAAATACAATGTTGACAAGTGTTATCTTTGTTTCTAAAAGAATGTCTTTATGGGACAGCAAGGGGAGGACATATGATAGGTTATGTATTATCCTTAATATTCATGTCTATATTTCCAATCTTTCCTTTTTATCAATCAAAAGAACCATTTAAATAAATTTATATCTTATAACGTAGCTCTTGAAATAAAATCTCAAACTTCTACTGTAAAAAAGGCTATTCTTTGCTGTTGATAACAACAATACATAGTTAAAAAATATGTATATAAAGATCAATGGTTTCTTCTGGCTATTAGCAGATCCTTTTAAAATTAATAGTCAGGATATGATACCCAATCAATGTCTAAAACCAATAAAGAACTATAATATTATCTAAATGTAAGACTGAAAGTTTGACCAAATGTTAAGAAATAAAAAGTTTTAATTGTTTACTTTTTATTTGCTATTAGCAGAGATCAGCAAAACATTTGTGGTCAAATTAGTATCTTTACCACAACAGTACTTCTTGAAATACAGGATTTCTAGAATAATACAAAATAATTCTAATCATAGACATCACATTCTGTAAGTCCACTTGTCTTAGGCCTAATATTAATTATGCCTTTATTAAGTATGGCCTATATTCGATAAAGAGATAAATTAACACTGTAACTTGTGGACATTTTTTGCTTTAGTTTAGCTAGCACTAAACTTTACTGTAGTCAATACTATCAATAAATAAACTTACAATGTAATTCTATGACCTAATGTTAGACCTTTTTAAAAATTTTGAGAAGCTTTTAATATGTTATTGTACAAAATTTCTACGAAAGTATATTTACATTTACCTTTTGTTTACATCCATTAAAATTAAGTGTACACACATGTGCATTTAGATGGCAGGATGTGCACATATTTTCCAAAACCAAGTATTACTATAATAGATAAAAAATTTGAATGTATTATATAAAACTTCAAAGTAAATAAATTTACGTCATTCCACCTTGTGAAGAAAAAAATTTTTTATGCATAGATAGTCTTATTTGTTGTTAAATAAGATTTTGAGTAACTGTGTAAACAGCATACTTCCAAGGTCCAAAATGAGCAATAAAAACAAGCATCGTGTCTGACATGTCTAACCCTGATATGTACATACCTTGTCTAACATGTGTTCAGAACAACCATGGTCAAGCAGCTTTCTACGGATTGGCCCAGCTTCAGTCATACCATAAGCATAGTGTAATGCAGTACGATGGTACTATAAGAAAATACATGCTTTTAAGACAATTTGAAAACACTCATAAATTTCTCCTCAGACAGAGTTTGAGACTGTTTGTTCCAGATATTCACACAAAGCTACTCAAGGGGTATTACTGCTAGCCATCCCTAATTTTGAACTGATAGATTAGAGGGTATGTAGCAAGTTAACAGCACCCACTACCATCTTCTGGGTTACTGTAATTAAATAATTGGATATGACCATCACTTTTGAAACCCACCAATTGATCTAAGGTATGAAGCACAATTTTTCTTACTGTAACAGGACATGAATCATGGACCCTTGGATCCATCAGCCACATACAAGTCCAGGAAAAATGGAGATATAAGTGCTATTCTAAAATATACGTGATATTTTGTATATATAAAGTGTTCTGTGATGACAAATCACTTGAATAGTCTGATGTGAAACTTTCACAGCTATATAATAGCTTCCAGTTTAATTTCACATTGTCATGATGAACATAAAACTATCGCTTTACAAACTGGGATTTTATGAGTGGAAAACAAATTTCTTAAATAAAGATAATCAAGTATATAATTTTTAAAATGATACGATAAACATTTTTAAGCCAAAAAATCATGGAAACCATGTGACTCTGTCATTAAAATATATATCACTAGCTGAAATACCCATCAACTTAGTTAAAACAATGCAACTTTAAAAGCAATCATATATTTCTAAGTAACAACCTGAACATAAACTTTATTTCAAAATTTTAAAATTATAACAAAACTTCTTCAGAAACAACATGTCCAGTTTACTTTCCATCTACCAACAAATGAAGATTTTGATGTAATCCCACCCTTGAACATCCTACATCTCATTGACCATGAGAAAAGCTGGTTGTTTGAAAAATAATCCAACAGTTTTCATACTTCGACCTTGAATCCCTTTAGAATATTCACCATTGTCTAACGCGTCAACCTGCCAAGATTGTTTGAGATTGACTCAATAGGGTTGGAATAATTAACCAACAGGCTTTACAAAATAGAAATAGGGTTAAGTTCAATTTTGATCCCCTTAGGACATTCCCCACAGTTCATAGTGTTCACATACAAATTTTGGTTGAGACTGGCCTTATAGGCTCAGAGGAGTTAGGGTGCAAAAAAACACACATTTTTTGTCTCTCTCTCTCTATAGATAGTTGAAAACTGTGTAATTCAGTATTATTTTCACTGAAAAAACACAAACATGAACATCACATGACCCCCCATACAACACACAAAAACAACAACAATCACAGACTATAATATATCTCATATATTTTATTCTGTTTTCTACTGTGTTAGGCTAGATTAACTACATTTAGTATTTTGATCTTTAATACTCACTTGATCAAACAACGAATCTATGGACTGTTCTGAAGGTTTATGGAGTAGGATGGCATTAACAATCAGTTCATGGTTGTGTAGCACTGCACGATGTAGTAGAGGAAGTCCATCACCCTAAAACATAACTTAGGAACTGAAAAACAGCAATTCAAAAGTTGGAGTGAAAAAAAATTTAATGTTCAAGAAAAAAAAAAGAAAGCAAAATACTTATTGTTTGCTTTCAGCAGTCTACCTTAGTAAGGTTACCTGATTCTGCAAAAATATCAGTTATGAATCATTTCTATCAATGCAGACACTCCTTTTCAAGAACATAACAAACCATTTAATACCTAACTAAATCTTAAAAAAAAGAAACCGAAACCATATAAAATACTGGAAAATGGCTACTTGAAAACTTGTGTGTTTATATTGGACACATTTGGATGCACTGAACTCATCTAACACTGTATCATACCATGGATCTGTTTGTATACAGTCAGTTTCTCATTCAATATGCTTTGAAGGATGAGCAAGCTGTGCCTGAGGCAAATGGTGTTTGATGGGAAATTTGTATGGAACAACATAAATGGTAGTTTACATGAAAATAAGGTTAAATAGAAAACTGCAGATAAAAGGATTTTCACAATCTTGAGATGATTAGTTTTAATCTCTGATTTTACATATATTAAACATAAGCTACATAGAAAAGTAATTTACTAGTAATAAGCACATTCATGAGATATTTAAGATGCTAATTGTCATCCACCTAGGGATTCTGTTTATATCAAAACACTAGTGATTGACATATGCTGTGAGTTGTTGTCACGTTATATCTTACGTACCATGCAGCACAGCATTTCGATAATTTGAAATTACACATGCATCTATTACATGTCACTTAACATCTATACTTTTATACTCCACATCACCCATTATCTATCACTAAACATATAAACTTTGATACTCCACATCACCCATTATCTGTCACTATCCATCTAAACTTTGATACTCCACATGGTACATTACATCACTAAATCTCTAAACTCTGATACTCCACATCATCCATTACCTGTCACTAAACATCTAAGCTTTGATACTCCACATCATCCATTACATCACTAAATATCTAAACTTTGATACTCCTCATGACCCATTACCTGTCACTAAACATCTAAACTTTGATACTCCACATCACCCATTACCTGTCATCACTAGACATCTAAACTTTGATACTGTCATGATATATAAGACTGTTTAGTTTAGATATTACTGATTAATCTATTTCTTGTGAGTGAATATTTTATTGTTGTTTAGTTTTTGTTATAATAAGACTTAGGACAATTGTAGGAAGTTGTGTCTATAAGTCACTGATGTTGAGACTATCGACCACTGTGTGCAATAGAATGATGTTGGGAATATAGAGATTTCTAGAAGGCAGGCAGACAATTGAGTAATAGACAAATAAAAAGTGTGAGACAAGTGGAAAAAGCTGACAAAAAATAGCAGAAGAGAATAAAGTTATGGGCAAGGAAAAGTTCAGTGTGAAGTTAACTACCATAGAAGTGATAGGCCTAACGATTAACATAGGCCTAATGTTTAATATTTTAGAGTAAGACTAACAGTAGAAAAGGAAATAAGAAAAATAATTCATTCCATCAAAGCATTTTTCTAAAGTAATTGAATCAGCCTGAGTACACTTTGACAAAAGGAATAGAGGATATTTTGAAGAAAGAAGACCAAACAATTATGGTAACTTGCACCACAATCGCAAGTGAATCATATATAGAATACTAGTGCAGTAGTAATACTAATAGAGAAGATAGTTCAACTTGTCAACTGAATTTCTAAAGTAATTGAATAGGCCTATGTGGACTTTTGACAAGAAGAAGAGAACTATATAGTATCTATGATATACCTGTAATATCTATAGTGTGAAGAATTTGTTGTACATATGTTTAATGTGTTCAGAATATATATATTATTTTGAAAACAAGTGAAGTGTGTGGTGTCCATTTATCATTGAATTTATCACTAACAAGTCACAGACACCTACTGTAGAAGAATCCTAAGCCTAACAACAACACAGTATACATTTATACTATTAAGAAGTATAAGTAAAAGTATTTTTAACTGACAATTGGTGACCATCCTATACCTATAACATCTAACAGATACTTCACATCATCCATTACATGTCACCAAACATCGAAACTTTAACATTCCACATACATTGATTATATGTCACCAAACATCTCAACTTTGATACAACAAAATGCATCCATTATATGTTGCTAAACATCTAAACTCTAATACCCCACATACATTTAATATCATGTATCACTAAACATGCATCCAATACCATGTGCCACTAGATATTCCGCACATATCCAATATCAATGTGCTACTCCACATTCAAGTTAACTTTAATAATTCATATACATCCATAATCAATGCACCACTTAAAATCCACACCTTAATACTCTATATGCATCCATTACAATGTGCCATTAAACAATCAAACTTTAATATTCTGCATATGTCCAACACCATGTAAAACTAAATATCCAAACATTAAAACTCTGCATACATCTAATACCATGTACAACTAAACATCCAGACTTTAATACTACACATACAATACCATGCACTTAAATACCTAAACATTAATACTTCAAGTTACAAATTCATATTGTCTAGAGAATCCAAATTCTGAATACAGAGTAACTTCTGTATATATGGTAAAATTCACTATTTTGACACTAAACTATACCTTTGTTTACAATTTTCCTACTTAATACTAAAAAAAGGAAACAATCCCTGTGAGTTACCTTTGGCCTTCCGTCCCAACAAATATTTGGCTCCAATAGATCCGAACTTCTTTCAAACTTGCACAGTTGTGAAAAGTCTGTAGGGTCTCCTCTTTCAACTGCATCAGCTAACTTAGCTATTTGATTCTAAATTATTCAATGAGCCAGTATAAAACCTCAGGACTAAAAACGAATAAAATAGTTCAAGTTAAGACAATCTGGGTGGGTTAAGTTTAAAAATACACAACATTTTCTGAGAATTTAATGTAAACACTCTCAAACATCCTTTACTTATTTTACATTTGTTGGAATCTATGTATTACATTAAAATCTCTGCAGATTTTTGCTTTATTTACATTTAATTTGAATGTAGGTCATGAGTACAAAGAAAAAGATAAAAGATCAACACCTTTAATGTTAATGTCCTTACAAAAAAAAAAGCTATTTTAAGTACAAATATCACATTAAAAAAAAAGCTTTAGTGATTGTGACAAACATTCATACCCAATGGACAATGACACATAGATAAAAATTTTAGATTTTTGATAAAAGAGTACACTACCTTCAGGTATTTGCCGTAGGGTAAGTTGTTACACTTTTTTTCTTCAGTTTATAATAACTAACCACTGATGTTAAAAAAGTATCAATGAAATTGAAGCAATACTTGTTAATCCTTGGACTACCAACACAGGCACATTATGAATCCAAAGCTTTTAGAACAAGCTATATTGTTTACTGGGGGCAGTGTGGCTCATTGGCTTCATGCATTGGGTTTGTAGTTGGATGGTTGTGAGTTCCAGATTGGCTTGCAGTATGCTGTTGTGATTTTCAGCAAGACATTTTACCCCAATAATTTCAGTCCTCAGCTATTAGCTGTGTGTTAACATGCAATGGCCAATCCAGGATAAATATGTTACCATTCTCATCCACCTGTAACATTAATCTGCAGTTTAGCACTGGATCCTATGAGTGATCTTGGCACAAGTTGGATCTGACCTTATGACATTGTTTACTAAAATGGATCCATTGTGATCCAACACCTTATAAAAATTAATCATTATATTACTTTTCCAGACAAACAGAAATACATAACTGAACAGAGACTGATATAAATCAAATCAACCACACTCATCATTTGATATCTTAAAAATTGTTCAGTTAAAAAGTGATCACTGCTTTGTGACATTAAAGTTAATACAACACTCTTTTGTTACAGTAAAATCTATTTAAACCTGTTTAGAGCTGAACAATTTAATTTATTACCTATGAGCAGCAGTTACACTGACTAGTGTCACACATAAACTAATCAGTTAATCAAAGTTATGATTAAATCTATTATTCCAATGATCAATTAATTTAAATACTGAATATATTGACTATCACAAAAATTATCAACTAATTGAAATCAGGGTTTCAAATTATTTCAACTATCCAAGTAATCATTACATTGCCACCAAACTTGCTTGCTTTGTCTTTGTTATGACAATGCTACTAAGGCTACTATATGCTACTGTCACTAATTTTTTAGCTCTTGACTAGAGGGAAGGCTACTAGCTGGCAGTATCTGCCACCAATATTTATTTTTCAGTTTTATATACCATGGTTTGAAGGACTAATAAATCAATTCAATATAAATGATTAATGGAGCTGTTGACTAATTTAATAGCAAATAACACTAATAACCAAGCTCTAAATCAATTAAAATTGGACAATAACAAAGCTATCATACAAAACAACTGCATGTGAGCAACATTGTATTGTAACCCGAAACTAACATTAAACTATCAAAAATCAGAACAAACAAGATATGTGCACTGTTCAATGGTTATTTGTAATGTGCTTATTAAAAGACACTTCCACACTAACAAATGACCTTCAATGAGACAAGTCTTATTATAATGGATAAAATGTTCCATTTAGCCATCACGAAAGTTTCGTATGGAAAAACAAATGTACCCTTTTAACTGGGTCAAATATTCTCTATATGTTACAAATGTTCCATCTAGCCATCATGAAAGTTCCGTATGGAAAAACAAATGTGCCCTTTTAACTGGGTCAAATATTCTCTATATGTTACAAATGTTCCATCTAGCTATCATGAAAGTTCCGTATGGAAAAACAAATGTGCCCTTTTAACTGGGTCAAATATTCTCTATATGTTACAAATGTTCCATCTAGCCATCATGAAAGTTCCATATGGAAAAACAAATGTGCCCTTTTAACTGGGTCAAATATTCTCTATATGTTACAAATGTTCCTTGCCTCAGGTTACAGAAGTTCCCTATGTGTTGTGAATGTCACAAATATTCCTTAATAAATGTTACAAAAGGATCCATTAGTCTAAAATCACTCTCATGTAACTAGCTGCAGTGGGTAAAACATTGAAACTGTTGCAAAAATAATTTCCCTATATTTGTTATTGAAGGCTAAACTTAAGACCATATGTCTAGTTAATTAATAGTATGTTTCAAACAACTATGTTATATGCTTAGCTCTTGTTTTTTTTTCAGTAAAGGTTTTGAGCATAGCCTCCGGTCTGTAGAATGAGTATAAAAGTCTTAGTAACACTACAGCAAAGCAGTATTTTGTAAAAACACATAATCATGCAGGATAACCAGTAATAAACTGAACATGATAATACTATTGAACTATTTCCTTGATAACTTCAGCAAAAAACTCACCTGGTAGACCGTAATTTTCTGAGCAAAAATACTTAAGGACGGATCTTCGTCGAGGATTGGACCATTCTACATAATCATGAATACATATACAAATATTATTAAACGGAGAACTTCATCTAATGTTTATCTATTCTCTCCAACTTGTCCAAGAAATATCTAAACAGTAAAAAATGAGTTCTAAGAGCACTTCATCTACTGTTTTTCTATATAAAGTCCCAAAATAATTATCACCAGCCTCAACAACTATTGGAAACCAGAAAAATTATGAATACTCCTTGAAGAACCATTTTAAAATTTTAACGATAACATAAATTACAGTTACATTAATTGAAATAACTGGGAAGCTTTGGATAATTTGGAAAAGTTAATCTAAGTTAGCAGAGCTCTTTACGTGTTACACAAACTTTAATGGGAACAATTCTTCCAAAAAAAACAACAACTTTCTTATACAATTTAAAGCTTGTTTCAATCAGTTCATCTTCTAAATAGGATCGGATCTGAAAATGTAAAAAGGTGAGATAATAAAAAACAAGCTCATTATCACATCTTTTGCTTGTGTTTATCAGTGATCATTAGTAAGTATGGGAAAAAAAAAAGTGTGTTTACCTCATGACAAACATCAAGCAAATGATCATAACCACGGAGAGCCAAAATTTTCCTCTTTTCTGGAAAATTTTTTGGATATTTTATCCACTGGTTAACATGCTGAAAAGAAATTATTCTGTTATAACCTTTACTTTATCTGACACATATCAAAAATATTTTTTCATTATTTAGCACACAGGGTAGAAATTAATTATATATTGATGACTTGGTGTCCCTAACTCCAAATTACTCAGGTTCACACTTTGAATATACTTCTAGATGGTTTATGTAAAATAAAAATAGAGCTGTTTTAAACCGTAAAATACTGTGTATGTGTGTGCGAGTGAGTTGAAATTTCAGGTACTTGTTTTTCAGTAATTTTAGCATATTTTTCTCATTTTATCTTTATCTGTGTGTGATAGTTTATATTTTTGAAGTACACTTGGTTTTTTTTTCCAAAATGTCTTTATCAGTTCTGCACTTTAAGTATCTGTAGAAAATATCTGCATATACAGAAATCATTGATAATGTAAACTGTATAACACAAGTGTATTTCTACAAGTTTCATAAGAAATAAAAAGGGAAGATTTGATCACTAGCATCCCAAAAACTGTTGGTCTTTAAATGGTGAAGACAGACATTAAAGATTCCATGCAACATTCTTAATGTTTCCAAGTAAG